GCGCACGCTGATCACAGCAGCCAGCGTTGGCAGACGGCTGCCGCGCAGGCTGATCACAGCAGCCAGCGTTGACAGACGGCTGCCGAGTACGCTGATCACAGCAGCCAGCATTGGCAGACGGCTGCCGCGCAAACTGATCACAGCACCTAGCATTAACAGACGACCGATGTGCGAGGCGTGGCGCCGGCGGGCGGCGACGATGGCCGGCATCAGAGTGTCGCCACCGCTGGTCAGCACGGAGCGACAGTCACCGGCGCTGACCCGGCACCCGGGCGTGACCTCCTGACGCTGGCGGTGACCCGACACCGGCCACGTCTATCGCGTCTTGTGCAGCCACGCCACGCCGAACGACCACCGGCGGTCGAGCCGACCGCTGCCAGACGCGTCACCGGCAGCTTCACAGCTGGCAGCGGTCGGACCGGCCGCTGCCAGACCCGTCACCGGCAGCTTCACAGCTGACGGCGGTCGGACCGTTGTCGGACACGCGCAGCACGGCTGCTGACGAGCCCCGGCCCACCAGAGCGCCGTCAGCGTGATGCCGCTGCCGCAGGTCGACGGACAGCCGTGAGGCAAGGCCGTTCGGTGCGAACGTTCGGTGCGTTCGGTGCCAGCAGGCCTCGCAGGCATCCCGTGCGAGCTCATGCTCCCATTCAGATAACCAAATTCACAGAGTTCCGTCTTGCACGTGGCAGAAATGGAAACCGTTTCGTTCACGGCTCGATGCGTGGTGCAAAAAAAGCTCACACCCAAGCGAAACCGTTTACTCTGGTGCTAACGGGAAGCGGTGAGATTTAGTGCGGCGGCCATGCATGCACAGCAGGCTGCTCAGTCAGAAACTGCGACCTTGAAACACCACGCAATTTGGCACCAACTGGCTCAGACTTTCTAGTCACGCTCGCGCTCTGGCAGTGAAACTCGCTTGGCTTGCTCCCCGCCTCGTGATTTCAATGAAGACAGTACGCATCAGAGGCGGACACGATGCATTGACAACAGTGTAGCACAGGGTGTCGATTTTTGTACCTGATTGGCTGGGGGGGGGGGGCAGCTGAAAACTCTAAGGCGAAGCCTCCCCACATTTCCCCATAACGGATTTAGCACACTTCAGTTTGATGAAAGGCAGGCTAGATTTTTTTTAGGTTCGTATCACTTATCAAACAGTCCTTACTTTAAGCAGCGCAATAATCACGCAGAGGTGGACTTGGGTGGGGAGGGCACTGGAGCAGCGTGATCCGTCTGATCGGGAAGTATAGGCGCCGCCCTAGAGGTCGCCTTAGGACGCCGAAGGGCGTTCTTCTATGGCAGCCATAACTGAGGTAAATGTCTTAGGTTGCGGGGTCGACGACGGACATAATCATGAAAAACTTAAATCGGTCCTGCACTCCGCCTCTTTTCAATTTAATCCCTCACACCCTCGCGTATCTTATGGTCTTGCGTGCAGTAAGTTAAATGTTTTGCTTATCCGCTCAGGTATTGTGACTTTTTATCTGGCGTTTTTTTAGTGATCAGAGACACCTTTTTATAGGTGTGGTAGGAGATTCTTTAGTGCTGGTAGTTGCCCTGCTATATACGACAAGCCTACGTTTCTATGGGTCGGTAGTTGGTATGGGTTGGCACACATCCGGCTACATCACGGATCCAGCTATCGAGTCTGGAGGACGTTCGGCAAAACTATACAGCCCATACCCAATTTTAAATTTCTCGGGCTTCAGTCAGAACGCTCCCGTGTGAAGAAAGGTGTCATAATTTTGGAGTTGTTGAATGAACAGATGAACATTTAAAACGACACGACAAATGAGATTCTATCGCTACTCTACTAGCTCCACCGCCAGATTCCAGCGCCAGTTTGCGATGCTGTACATGCTATCACGTTCCTATAATGGATCTAAAAATGGCACACGTGAAATTTCCGTCAGGACTGCCTTCTTAACGTACAAATTGATGTCCCAGAGAGATTTAAGGTACTTCTTTCAGGAGCACTTCATTTTCGTCCACACGTTGGTCGCCGCCTAGCGATTAGCTACGAGGCCGACGCCGCATGGCCTATGGAGATTGGAACACCGGACGTTGTGTTCTTGTTACTAAGACTTGCGAGCGTGCATGTCCAAAACTTTTCTAAATGCTGTTTCCATTTATCAATTCTGATAGAAGATTAACAATTTCCTTACGAACACGGGCTGTCCATTTTAGTTTTAAAAAATTGGCCCTATTTCGATATGGCCAATGTTCACGGATCCGCAATATTTCTGCAAACTCCGGAGCGAAATCTGACCAAAATCCCTCAGTTCTATCGGTTGAGGAAGAGTCTACTCATCCACTGCGAAAACAATAGCGCCGGTGGTTTATCTCATGCAGTTACCTAATTGCGTCAGATTACTGACTTCAAGGATTACAATAATTGTATCTTCCATTAGCTTCTCTGGCTTCTGTTCCATTACAAGAATATAGATAAAACTAAACGGAGAAAATCGTACCCCTTCGAAACAGAGTGAGCTGAATCTAAAACAAATTTGAGGTACCTTAGCTATTTTTTATCTAGACTCTATTTCCACGGCCTTTATCGAGAGATCCACTGTGTTAGCTGAAAAGCTTAAAAAATATAATATATAACGTAATAGACTGTTTGTTGTACAGTACTTGTGCTCTTAATGTCGACCATGGGCGCCGGAACAAAACCAATACGAGTGCTGGGTGATCTGATGTCATACCAGTCTTGCAGGACCGGCCTCACGAAACCACACTACATGCTGCTCAAGCGAGATAGAGCTTGCGTCGTGGGCTGTGGTTACTTCTTTGGAGTAGATCAATGAGCGGAGTGCGTAGTATTTATGGTGCTGTGAGCGATTTCATAAAATAAAGGTACTAAAATATGAGCAAAATGAGAGTTTTGTTTAGGTTTGGTGGCCGCTTGATTGAAACTGACGTCAATTTTGGAGAGGGTTCTACCGATCAGCATTCCTGCATCCATCCCTGTAGTCATGGCCTGAAAACAACGTCCGAAGAAAATAGTCTTTGTGTGATGGTCAACGCTTTTCTTTGCTTTTATAGTATTCCAGCAAAATATTGTGGGAAGACCAACCAGAATCGGGGAGGTGGGCAACCCAACATGGGAGGTAGGTGGAGCAGGGTCCTAAAAAAAACACAAATCGACACCTGTGTTGCAACCCGCGTATTGGCTGCATCTGCTTGCAATTATTGATGGTGAGTGTGAACAAACATTTGGCCGATATAGTAATATGCGAGCGTAATATGTACGTCGATTCCTCCCCTCGGATTGGGCATCACGGTTTGGTTCCCTACAACGGAAGATTTCGAAGATAGCACCGGTAGTGAAGATGTACACCGGCAGTGAGTAGGTACAATAAATAACAGGAAAGATGCATGAAGCGTGCACGACTGCCACGCACTACCACGGTGACATGGTGTTCTGAGCTCCTCGCAGCATCGTCCCAGTCGTATCTCCGGTTTGATGGACCCGCCGCTGACGGGCCCATTCTAACCATTCATATGCTCGTGCCGAGAGAGCGGAGAGCAGAGCTAGCCAACCGGTCGTCTCTCCTTGCTATCCATGACGTCGTTGCTCGCACAATGGCTCCAAACATCGTGGGACACGACAATCTTAGAGGCATTCGAGCCGATAAAGCTTTTGATCTCTGACGCTACCTCGGATTGATGGGTTTTACAAAACTCGTTTTCAGCGACAGCGAAATGTGTGCTGAGTCATATGTGTATGCTAAAGAGATGCGAGATGAAAGGGACCGCATGGCAGTGCCACACATTCTAATTTTCCACTTTCAGTTATATAGGTAAATACAAATTCGGGACAACCATGCTATGGCCATTTCACACCACGACAAAAGACGGCCTTTTGTGCTTTTAAGATTAAACATTTGCCAATCATTATTAGCATAACTGCCAACATGATACGCTTGTTGGCCTTGAACGATCCGGTTTCCGTAGCCCTCCAGGGCCTCGGGGCTCGCGACGCTCGCTATCTTGTAATTGGCTTATCCCTTGACAAGCGTCTGAGGGGCGGCTGCCATGTAACCCTGCGCAGCGGTGGGTGACGATATGCCACGACAGTGGCACCCCTGACACCTAGGGAGCGTTCCCGTGATAGCGCATTCCGTGAGCGCGCACTGAAGCCACAGGCGGCCGGTCAAACCAGCCCAGTCAGTTCCCAGCCGGCCGTGACTGTTACTGTGCTTGAGAATTTGTAGCCTCAGTGTCGCATTTTAGCGCGATGGTTCTCTGACCTTTACGTCTTGTTTTAACCCTGGAGTGACCGGCAGGTTTCGTAACAGGGTGAACTGATTATTTCAATGTCACCTATAACCACGGCGATAGCAGCAAGCAAGGACATCGATAAACCCTTGTATGATTCTTCTCAGTGTGGTTCAAGGCCAATGCATACATATCTGAAGCCAGCGCGAAGGTGAATGGAAATGATAGGACTCCTACACTTAACAAGCATAACCTTACTCCTGTAGCCCTCACCCACTTACTGCCTGGGGATCAAAGGATCACAGGGGCGGTAGCCGCTGAAGATTGCTGCCCATGGGCTATCCAGCGTGTTCACCGGACCGCTCGTGACTGATGTCACACGTCAGCATGTCTGCGTCTTCTCACGAGCTCCAATATAGGTGGTGCGATGTCTCACGGCCGAATTGGCGACCGCTTTGAGGATCATCTGATTGCAAAATTCCCCCAACTGACTTCTGCGTGTAACGACCCTATGTGATCAATACGTAAATTGGTCGTGCCTGACCTCTGCCCAGGGATGGCCCTTTCTGACCTCTGCCATCCGCGGAAAAGGAAACCGCTCAACCCCGGGCAGACTGACACAAGTTGATCTCAATCAACGCTATCCAAGACTCAACAAATCTCTGGCGCCAGGAGTAGGGCCCCGTGCACCGCTCCTAGCGCCTCTGACACTACCGGACAAGGAGACCGGCCGGACCCAAACGGCGGCCACGGCCGGCGGCGGCTGCCACCTGACTAACCTGCAACAGCAGCAGGAGCGAAGCGGCCGACGGACGGTCTCCAAGCGGCATGGTGTCTGCGCGGCACTCCTGACGCGCTCTGAGCCACTGGCCAGACTGGGAGGGCGCGCGGCCGGCCGCGCGCCCGGCGGCCGCCCGCCGCGGACCTTGGCCAGGCTCCTGACACTGCCCGGCCGACCCAAGGCTGGGGGAGCGGCGGCAGTGGTTCCGGGGGGCGGCGGCTGACCGGCGCGCTCCTCTCCCAGCCGCGGTACAGGATGCTCGACGGACGGCGACGCCGAGCGACGGCACTCCACGACCGCCGCCGGCCGACCACTGCAGCGGCGCGCCACCGCCGCCGCCGCCGCCGGCGCCGGTGCCGGCCCACCGAGCCGGGCCGGGCCGCGTGTCGTAACCGGAGCGAAGGGGCCGGCGAGTCCCGGTGGCTGAAAGGGCTGCTGCTCTCCGCCCCACCCGGCTCCGTCCCCAGGGGCTTGAAGAGCTGCTGATCCCAGCCCCACCCGACACCGTCCTCAGGGGCTGGAAGAGCTGCTGATCCCAGCCCCACCCGGCGCTGTCCTCGGCGGCTGGAAGAGCTGCTGATCCCAGCCCCACCTGACACCGTCCCAAGCGGCTGGAAGAGCTGCTGATCCCAGCCCCACCCGACACCGCCCCCAGCGGCTGGAAGAGCTGCTGATCCCAGACCCACCCGACACCGTCTCCAGCGGCTGGAAGAGCTGCTGATCCCATCCCCACTCGACGCCGTCCCCAGCGGCTGGAAGAGCTGCTGATCCCAGCCCCACCCGGCTCCGTCCCCAGCGGCTGAAAGGGCTACTGATCCCAGCCCCACCCGGAGTTGTCCCCGCCCCTCAGCTGGCCGGGTCGGCATTAAGCGGGCGGTGCTTCCGCTTGTGACATGCGGCCTGTGCCAAGGCCGCGTCCTGTGTCAGTATTTGCCTGATCATGGATATTAATCATGCGTTTGCCATGAACGTTCCGCATTCACAAGTTTTAGTGCAGATAAAGCGCAAGGCCACACGACCCGAATCGTGCTTACTCACTCGGTGGAGCAGCGTCGAAGCAGATAACAGCCACAAAAGACGGCAATGAGTGGCAGTACCAATTAAACAACGACAACAAATAGGTAATGCGGCTATCATGCATGTAAATTGTCTCTCTGCCATTAAAAGACGCCTGGGTAATCACCTGTGATACGACATTTCTATTTGTCGTGACCTGTCTTATTAGAAAAGCCCGCTGCCGCAGTCCGCCACGCGCGTTCCGCGGCACAGTCGGTCGCCGCCGTCGCCTACGGGCCTACGGGGGCCGTGGATCGCCGTGCAGTGTTCCTAAAAAACCGCCGCTTCTCCGAAACCATAAATGTTAGGAGCACTTTTTTGCTGTCAAAACACGTGCAATAAACTTCCCATAGGTCATTGAACATTTGGACGAGATTGCACAACATGCCAGCGAAGTGTTCTCAGAAAACTTCAGGGCGTTGGCATGGACCTCTGCGCCATCAGGGCGAAGGCTGGGAGTGGCTCGACTCTAAACAAATAGCTAACTCAAATGTCACATTCCCAACGTCGGGGAAGAATTCGATATCACCGTACTGCTGTCCTGTGGTATAGTGGAGGAGCAGAGCTGTCAGAAGGTGCTCAAATGCCCACTAACACGGAGAGTGCCCACGAGCCGTGCTGCCAGAACGTGCACAAACTTTCAATTGTACGGAGAGTGCGCAGGACCCTAGTCTCAGACACTGCCTTTTCAGCGTGTGGCATGTTTCCCGGCACGCCAATAGGCATGCCTAACCAGAGGCGTAGTCTCGCAAACTGTGTGTGAGCGCTGAGCAGTGGAACATGATGCAGCCTTCCCCAAAACTACGCCACCAAACGGGTGTCTGTCCGAATTTTAGCCCACTTTTTATCAAAATAGGGGGGAGCCCACGTTGGGGGGGGGGGGAGATGGAAGACTATCCAACTAAATAGGCAACTACACCTCTGCGTCTAATTTCACAGAAAGTTTTGCGAGCCGTAGAAAACCGAGCGAGGCCTCATTCAGCCCAAAGCCGGTGCAGAACAAGCCCCGGTTCCGAGCAGCTAGAAAGCTTGGAGATCACCACCGCTTTGGTGGCCGCCACGGCCTTGAGCAGCCAGCCATGCGCAGTGGCGCGGAGGCAAGCGTGCACTCAGTAAGGAGTAGATATTAAGGGAAGGCCACGGAGGACGTGACCTCCCTCCCGCCCCTGAGACAAGACGCCAAAATATCGAGAGGTCAAGAGGTCAAGATATCGGGTCATGACGTCTTCTGCTTATTTTTCTTAAACTAAGATATCTTCGAACATCGAGCGACGAGCCCAGGTTATATGCATAGCGCAATATCCACGAGACACTTATTGCCTTTACGAAACTTAATTAGATCGAGTACAATAGCAAAGCAACTTCACAGCTGCCTAGTTCCACAGCATATGGAGATGTCTGAAGGCAACATAAGTAATGCAGCGCCAATACCCATGCATATGCATCCAACTTAAATACACAGTTCTCGGCAACTATTAGCATGGGTTAAATCTTACGCTGCATTATTCAAGCTTTAAAGTAGTAGCAAAATTTGCATGAGCATATCGTTCCAAAGTGAGCAAGATCTGTAGTTGTAGTGTACTTTATATTTAGGTGTATTTCTACGATCTCATCCAGACCCGTTGAATGGATGGATTTCTGTGATCAAAGCCCACGCTAAGCGATGGTTGTTGTGTGAGCCCCGGCCCCTACCATCCGATTGTGCTATTCCGGATCAACGGCAGAATTTGGTGGCAGAGTTTAAAAAAAAATGTAGCACATTTAAAGATCTGAAAGCAATCATCAGATGAGATCAAATAAGCTCACACCTATGCTATGTAAAAAAGTTAAAAGTTCTCTTTTTAGCAAATATGCTCCTCAATACGTTATTGCTTCATTGCGTCATGACACGTTTGTATGACTTTGTGGTGTTGTTAAACTAGCCGTTCAAAATTGCACCATGGCACTCACTTGTAATACTTCATCTCCCATTAGTTGGCCGTGGTGGTGCTAAAAGTGTTTGCCAAACCAAGTATCGTTATGCGATCGTGCATTGGCCCTTTTCGTGAAGTTTCTGCATTTTCATCCGTGACTTTAAGATGTTGACTTGGGTTGACTCACCCGGTTATAGTGCTTTTCTTAAGATACACGATTGCAAGTCTTTTTTCCGTAATAATTAGCAGCTATGTCCAACTTCTTACATTATGTAGCACAAAACGTGTTTCGGGATCAAATCTTGCGCAACCCGCGTAGCATTAATTTAGAATCGACTGACGTCGATTACATCTGTAATGCGTCCTCACGACCGTCAAATCTGAACGGTTCGACGACTGCAGTCTTTTTGGCCTTGGACACCGCATGGCCTATGCCGTGGCAGTATTTGAATGATGTTCCTTTTGCATCACGCATGTCCGAATGACCTTGAAATAGTCTGCATACGTTATCCGGTGTGTAGCTTAGAAATGAGAGAACTCTTAAGAACTCTTAAGTGTCTTAAGAAGGGCAGGGCTGTGAACTGCACAGAATGATCTTCAAACTGACAATTTCAGTTCAAAACCCCATACAAATGTGGAATACTCTCTTTAACGTGCCGCAATGTTCGGCACGGTCCGTCGTTCTACATGGGATTTTGCATGGTGCAACTCAACTTGTGATTGCGGATAAATTACCGAGGAGTCGCACGTCTTTTGTATTTGCGACCTTGCTATCTGAGTTGCATGGGCATCTGATCATCTGATTGCATCTGAGTTGCAACCTGAGAAAATTCAAAATGGTTTGTCGGAGCGAGTATTATACATCCCATTGGTTGTTTTACATCCAAAAGTCTGGTCACACGTGCATGCCGCGCAAAATCTTATCTCCTTTACCAAAGCATGCCCCTTAAAGAGCCGCCTATAAATGAAGCAGATTTTCCACACTCCTGTCTGTCTGGTAGGGGCAATCTGACAAGAAGTGCAGGAAAGTTGTGCTGGTGGATGGTTTAAAGAATGCATCCGGAAGTGTATGACCACCTTTTAGCTTTATCATGACTCCCAAAAACGACCTGTCACTTTTGGGATAATCCAGGGCAACTTGAATATTGGGCTGGATGCTGTTTATGCCGATAAGATATACTTTGAGCATGCCTCGAGAAATATATATATATATATATATATATATATATATATATATATATATATATACATATATATCGCACTTCTCATCACAAATAAAAACCAACACGTTGCATCTCTGTCTCTGTCTCTCTGTCTCTGTCTCTCTCTCTCTCTCTCTCTCTCATCTCTCTCTCTCTCTCTCTCTCTTCTCTCTCTCTCTCTCTCTCTCTCTCTCTCTCTCCTCTCTCTCTCTCTCTCTCTCTCTCTCTCTCTCTCTCTCTCTCTCTCTCTCCTCTCTCTCTCTCTCTCCTTCTCTCTCTCTCTCTCTCTCTCTCTCTCTCTTTCCGTCTCTCTCTGTCTCTTCTGTCTCTGTCTCTCTGTCTCGTCTCTGTCTCTCTCTCTCTCTCTCTCTCTCTCTCTCTCTCTCTCTCTCTCTCTCTCTCTCTCTCTCTCTCTCTCTCTCTCTCTCTCTCTCTCTCTCTCTCTCTCTCTCTCTCTCTCTCTCTCTCTCTTTCTCTCTCTTCTCTCCTCTTCTCTCCTCTCCTCTCTCTCCTCTTCTCTCTCTTCCTCTCTCCCCCTCTCTCTCTTCCTCCCTCATTCGTTCTCTGTCTCTCTTTTTCTCTCCCTCCCTCCCTGTCGTCACACCACGTCTTCCCCGTCTGCTCATGCTCCCACTCGACCCTTCCAGCCGTTTCCTCCAGCCGCTCTGTCAACCCGGAAGCGCTGTTCCGACAGATGACAGATGACAATGTCATGCCGTGTCTGGACAGGTGGCGCCGCCTCTCCCATTTGTTAGCCATCGGCCGGCGGCATCGCGACAGCCTGGGACAGGTGCCATAGCGGCGCACCAGCACTGCGCCGCCACCCGTTAGCGCATCCGTTACCTATGTCACGTGACTGCTGTGAGGATGCAGACTGCCGCCAGGCTCGAGTCAGCTGCTGATCCGTGGT